AAAAAAAACATTAATATGATAAATGACAATAATGATATTCACAAAATAGATAGAAACATCAAAATACATTGTACCAGAAGTATTACATCATCAATAGTATAAAATACAAACAGATATTCATATTCACATTCAGTTACAATGTTATGTTTAATAATCAAACTATTTTAATATGTTAAAGTCTTCTTAATCAAATGAGTGTATTAAAAATGATAAGATAATTCAATAATAAGTTTTATGAATTTATTCTTAATTAATAAAACTTACACAAAACAATCAATTTATTTGGAATACATTGATTTTCACTTTTAATAAATCTCTTTAGATATAAAAAAAAAAGAATTTTAGTCTATTTCTTGAAAATCTCTTTTAAAAAAGAATTTAAGATGAAATAATTCTTTATCAAAATAACAAGAATATCCTCTTCTTTGAGACATTTCAATCCGTTTATTTTCAATAATGAATTCAACATCCTTATACTGTGAATTTGATGTAATAATTAATTTACAAAAGTTTTTATTGTCTGTTTCTTCTATTCTATAATTAACTCTTCCATGAAAATTTGGATATAAAATTGTTATTTCATAACCATCTGTTATTTCATTTGTCTTACCCTTTGGTCATTAGTTATAGATGTTTTTCTTTGTAATAATAGTAATAACAAACAGTTGCTGTTGAATATCTTGTTTTTGGTTGAATTAAATTAACTCGACAATGAACTTGAGGAATTAAAGTTTTATCTTTAGAATTGATGAAAGTATATTTGTCAACAACTTGTTGCATTCTTTGTAGTGGTTCATTACAAATAACTTCAAAAGGACTTTTTTCGTTTAATTTGCGTTGACTTTTAATTGACTCTCTTCTCTGAATTTCTTCACTAATTTTTACTCTGACTTCTCTCCAATAAGTTACATGATTCCCATCATCAATTCTTTTATTAACTTCCTCTTTTATTTTCTGTAATTCATTTTCATTCAATTTAGAAAAATAACAAGATACAAGAGAAGTCAATAAAGGATGAAGTCCATTGTCATTCATCAAAATGTCAATAACACAGTTTTAAGTTATAATTTTCTGATTTAATTTTTCAAAAAATAAATCACAAGAAACAAAAAAATGTTTTTAAAAACAAGATAATATTCTAATAATAAAGCAATTATTAGATCCATCGTCGAACTAAGCAAATCAGTTAGAAAGAAAGTTTGTAATGAAAAGAAAAAAGAAAAAGAGAAATAAAACTAATCAATACAGTGTCATTAGTACTTCAAGTATTATTTGGAAATGACGGAAAAATGTTAAGTACAAAGAAGATGCAATTTAATTTTACAGCTACAGTTTATGATATATTAGTAGCAATTAAAGAAAGACAACAATCAGAAGGTTTGATAATTTTATTAAAAGAAAAAGAAAAGATAATAATAAATAATAGTAAATATGGAAGAATATGCATTATTCCTTCCAAATGATAAAACAAGAGAAAAAGGACAATGGATGATTCCAAAAAGAACTATTGAATCATATGACCTTGTCACAGATGATGAAGTTTGGTTTAGAAAGAGAATGCAAGTAGTAAATGTTTTACTTCCTGATGGATCAACTAAAAAAATGATGTTAGATGTATGTCAAACAATTAAAGGACTTGTTGTTGCAATTGCAGACAAATTATCATTACATCATGCCGAAGCATTTGGAATTCAAATTCAAGGATCAAATAAATTTTTAAGAATGAAAAGTTCGTTATATGAAGTTGCTGGACCAAATGATGTTATTACATTGAAAAAAAGACATTTTATTCAAGAAGGAGAATTAAATAAAGAAGATCCAATGTTATTACATTTAAGTTATATTCAAGCACATGATAATGTTGTTGGAGGATTATATCCATGTAATAAAGATGAAATTATAAGATTTGGAGCATTAAATGCAATGATTGATATTGGGAAATGTGATGAAACAAAAAAAGTATCAACAATTCATCAAAATATTACACATTTTGCACCAGAAATGTATCAAAAGAAAGAAATTGAAAAAGAAATATTTGCTAAATGGAAAACTATGAATTCAATGACACCAGTAGATGCTAAATATAAATATCTTCAATTATGTATGACATTAAGATCATATGGAATGAATATTTATCATGGAGGAATTGAACCTAAAGGAATTATACAATCAACTGACCCAAAAAAGAAAAAATTAAATCAAGTATTAATGGCATTTTCACCAGTTGAATTAAAATTATTAACATTAGATCATAAAGTTATAATGAGTGAACCATATGAACATTTAAAGAGTTGGAAATTTAGTTCAGAAGCAGTAATATTTGATTTTGGAAAATTTAATAATGGAGAAATTATTAAATTTTATACATCAGAAGGAGAAGATATCTTTTCATTAGTTGCAGGTTATATTGAAATTATTACTTTAAAAGCACAAAAAATAGTAGAAGACGATAAAGACTTAGAAAAAGCTACTGAAGTTCAATTAACTAAACAAAAGAAAACAGCTGTTGTAAAAAGTACTGTCACAAAAACAAGGGTTGTTGCTCAACCTACTCCATTAACTCAAATTTCACAATCTGTAGAATCAAATGATATATATCAAGCTAATAAAACATATGCATTACCTGTTAATTTTGCTGTAAATTTAAAAGAAAAAACACAATCAAATGATGATAATTGGAGAAATCAACTTAGAAATCAATCAGATAATCTTCTTGGACTTCTTAAACCATTATCAGAATCATTTAGAAATGGTCCAAAATTATCTAATGAAAAAATTAAACAATTTGGATTTTATGTTGATGGTGTGCGTCAAGCTGTATTAAATGGTTCATCTTCTGTTGAAGATAAAGAAATTTTTGAAGCAATGGCAAATAATTTAATGGATGCTGTAAATGAATATATGGATATTTGTAGTGCGTTAGAAAAAGACCCAAATAATCCAGCATTACTTGCTGCTTTAACAGAAGCAGAACGAAGAATTCAAATGTGTACAGAAGCATTAAATGCTTGTGCTAATGGACTTGTTATGGATATTGATCAAGACTTAATCTTTGAATTATCACAATCTGTATCTGCTGATGTTGATGCAGCATGTGAAATTGCAAGAGCAGCAGCTGGTGATATTGTTGAAGCTGCTATTTCACAAGCACAAACAGATGCAAGAATGTTAGTTTTTGGAGCACAATCAATGGGACTTGCAATGGGAAATCCTGAATGTCAAACAATAATGAATGACCTTTTAAGTAAATGTAAAAATTCAAGTATCAGTTTATTAGAAACTTCACAATTAAAAGGAACCCCACAAGGAGGACCTTTAGAAGAAGATATTGATGATATTTGTAAAAATTGTGATTTAATGGATAATTTCATTGAAGAGATTAAAGATGACAAAATTAATAAAAGAAAGAAATTCCTTGAATCAGCTGGTGGTTGTTTGCAAATGGCTGATTGGTTATCTACATTACAAAATATGAGAGTTGAAGATGTCCAACGTGCTGCATTAGAAATGAAAAAAGATATTCCAACTATTGTTAAATATATGAAAGAATCTACTGCTAGTGTTGAAGTTGATGATGCTAAAAGAGCATTTATTATTGGAAACTTAAAAGATATGACTTCTAATGCTAAAATAATATTAACAAATGCAGATCAAACAGTTTATAGTCCTAGTAAAAATGATGATATTAGAGAAGCTGCTGGGTTAACAGCTGATGCAATTAAAGCAGTTTTAGGAGATGATGTTAATGAAGTTGTTCATCATTCTATGTATACTGATTCAAAGAAAGCAGCTATTGCCTCACTTAAAATGTCTCAATTATTAAAAGCAAAATCAAAGAATGAAAAGAATGCTAAATATGCTGAGCAAATACTTAATGCTGCTCGTACTGCTTCTCTTATTACTTCAAAATTACTTGAACCAGTTGAAGATGATGAAGATGAAAGAAAATTCATGGAAAAGTCATTAGCTATTGCTAATGAATATGACCCATTCTCTAAAAGTATTGATGGACTTGTTGATCAAATAGAAGAAGGAAGAGGAGATATAATTGAAGATAAAATGCAATTAGATTTAATGATGGCTAAATTAGAACAAGATGTTAATACATTCCAAAGAGAAGATATGTTATCTTCATTACATACTGCTGGAATGGATTATAGAATGGCTGCTGTTGAATTAAAGAGAGAAATTCTTGTTGTAGATTCAGCAAATGAACTTGAAGAAAGTGGTATTAAAGAAGAACTTAATGAAGAAGCATTAAAAGCACTTGAAGAATTTACTCAAGCAAGGCATCAATTAGATAATATTTCTGCTTTTGATTATACAACTCAAGCAAAAGTTGAAGATGTTGCAGAAAAATCTAAAAAGGTATTAAAAGCACTTATTAAAGCAAGTAGAACATCAAAGAAAAAGAATGAAAGAAAAATGTTACTTGATGCAGCAATGAAACTAAGTAATGAAATGGCTCGAATGCTTAGTGCAGTTGATGAAGAATCAATTGGTAATCAAATCAATATGAAAGGAATTGATACTGATTTAGTTAATGCTGAAAAACAAATCACTAATATTTTAAAGGTTGATGATTTGGTTGATATTGACCTTGGTAAAGCAATGACTGTGGAAATTACTTCTGAAGAAATGGAAGCTGAAAATACCGCATTAACAAAAATGCAAACTGTTACTAGTGAAATAGATGCTATTTATAAAGATATGCAAAAAGACATCCAAGCTAAAAAAGAAGCTGCTGAAGCAAGTGAAGATCCTAAACAAATTGTTGAAGCTACTTTACAAGAAGCAGTTCTTGTTATGGTTGGTTCATCTATTGGTGTTTTATCTACTGCCACTACAGCACAAGCAGAATTAATTCAACAACTCCAAAACTCTGAAACTGCAAGTGGTGTTCATAGAGATAAAGAATATGCAGAGGAATTAATTAAAGCAGTAGAAGATGTTAAAAGTACTGCAATTGAATTACAACAAAAAATTAAAGAAGATAATGTTAATTCTGATGAATTAGTTAAAGTAGCTGATAAAGTTGGTAAGAAAGTGGAAAAAGTTGTTGTGTCTTGTAGAGCTGGAACAAGAACTAAAGGAAGAAGTCATAAATACAAAGACCTTTTGGATGCTTCAAAGAAACTTGCTGATGCTACAAAGAATCTCTTAGAATGTGCTAAAAAGGTAGATGAATTTGATGATACACCTGTTGTTGTTCAAATGAATTTACCACCACCACCTCCTCCTGTCACTGAAGTTGAGGAAGAAGATATCGAAACATTTGGTATTGACCAATACACTCTCAAAGAAATTGAACAACAAAAGAAAATCTTTGAATTAGAAAAGAAATTAGAAGCTGCCAAAAAGAAGAAAGCAGATTTAGAAGAACTTGCTAAATCTTTCCAAAATTAAATCACTTTTTTTACGTTCAAAAAATAAAAGTTATTTTTTTTTTTTTTAATTC